AAAATTTGAAAGGCATCTTTTCACCAAACAATACCAATTTCTTTCAGACCATCATGCCTCAAGGCAAGCCCCTTGGCAAAGTGGTGAAAGGAGCCGGATCCCACATGGTTGACCAGGGTTTGAATCCCAGCCCTGGAGACTTGAAAAACATGCTGGGCATGTGTGTGCATGCCCAGGAGCCCTAAAGGATGGAGAAATGGAAAAGGGATTGTGGCCTAGGTATTTGTTATATTAAACAACAAAGGACCATGTCCCATTGTTGAGAGCTTTGTCTCCGCATCCACTCACCCCCTTTCTCGCTCTCTCTTTCTCTCTGGCAAACACACACACTCTCTGACAATTAAAAAATATATATGCCTCAGAACAGATCAGTTTCACGGCACATGCTTTGACGCATTCTTATTGTTAGGTATTAACTATTCTGTGTTCTACTATTTTCTGCTTGACATTATTTCATGTAGACCATTCCATAAATCCAGATAGGCTTCATATTTGACATTTTAATGGCTATATAATGTTTCATCGTATTGCTATGTCAAGATTTACTTAGCCATTTCCTGGCTGTTAATGATTTTCGATTCGTCTACAGCTATGAAAAGCATAACTGCAAACATCTTTACAAAAATAGGGTTTCCCTCGCTATTGAGTTTTCTCCTTGGGATTTGCTCCTCCAAGCAGATTTGCCAAATTGAGAGAGATAATGAGTTCTGTGATCTGTAGTATATGTTGTCAGATTTCTTCTCAGAAAAATGATGCTACCATTTCTACAGGCAATGCATGAGTATATCCGAGTCCCCAAAGTTCTGTTATCTTTGGTTATTAAAAAAAAAAAAAAAAAAAAAAAGAAGAAAAAGAAAAAGAAAATCTACTACTAATTATTTAATATGTATGGAGTAGCATGTTGGGGGATTTTAATTTGTGATTCTTTAATTATTATGGAAGCCAAACATTTTCCCAACTGTTTGTTCACTATTTGCATTTTCCCTTGTGCAAACCATTTGGTCATATCCTTTACCATCTGTCCAGTCAGACCTGAGGCTTGCCTGTATACATAGTACCATTTTATCTTATATACATAATATAAATGTTCATCTGATGTTTATCAGAGCAGTGTTCTGGGTTGTTATCCTTTTTAGTTTCCGATTTGGTACTAATCACTTTTTGTTTTTATTTCATGGCATGTACAAGTTTAAGTACACATATAGAGTACATGAGTTTCCATGCACCTGAACCTGTCAACTTGTCATTGGTTCATTGGTAACATCTTTCATTGCTTCCATTGTCAAAAAAAAAAAAATCCTTTTTATTCCAAAATGAGTAAGTGCAGGATTATTTATTTCATATGTGTACATGCATAGATGTGTGTATGAACTTACATATCCACTACATTACTTAGAAGTTCATGCTTGGGACCAGCAGTTAGCGTAATGGCTATGTTGCTGGATTCCCATGTAGTTGACAGCCGATCAAGTTCCGGACCCGGTGGCTTAAAACTCATGCCGGGCACGTGTGCGTGCGTGCCCAAGATCCCAAGAGGAGAGCAGAGGAGAAGGGATTGCAGTGTGGCCATCCCCTCTAGGGGTGATTTCTGGCTTTTTATCTCTCTTTCTCTGTCTGTCTGGCAAGCATGTGTGCCCTATAGCAAAAACCTCTCCAAAAAAAAAAAATTTGTGTTTTGGTCAGAGGGAATTGTCAATCTAAGCTTTAGATTCTAAAGTTATTTTCTCAAATCGATAATCACTTTTCCCTGAAATACAAGTTGACCAATTTTATATCCCTTTGTTTATAATAAATAAGCATTCTTCATAGAGAATCTCTCTGAGGGCTTTATCTCCTTGGCCTATTTTTTGGTTACTATTCCAATCAGGAGACTATTTTAATAACTGCTGTTCCTTGATAAGGTCTTTTACATTATAAGACTATTTTTCCAATATTTTATTATAAAAATAATAATCTACGAGGCCAGCAAATGGCATGATGATTAAGGTGCTGGACTCCCACTTGACAGACTGCAGTTTGAATCCCAGACCCGGCAGGTTGCTTTCTCACTTTCTCTCTCTGTTTCTCTCTGGTGACTACAGCAAATTAAAATAATAATAATAATAATAAAATTAAATAAATCATTCTTTTAAAAAAATACACTTTATTTTATTTGCTATTTTGTCAGTTTATATGAAGTAATCCATTGGGATTGTAAATGGTATTGTTTTAGTCTCTAAATTAACTTAGGTATTGTTTTAATCTGTACCATTCCAGTTTTCTGATCAACAGGAAAGTTTATCTTTCCATTTTTCACCAGAAGTTATATAATTATAAACTTAAGAGAGTTCAGATCTCAGGTGAGTTTTCCTTTCACTATCCCACCACACTCCTGGAAGCCCTCCAGTGATTCCTGCTTCTGTCATTACCCAGAACCATGTAATATGACTGTCACTAGCTATACCGCTAAATGCCACATCGAGGCACATTGCTCTCCTAATAAAGTCAAAGATCTGTTTGTAAATAAAGAGAGAATGGAGACTGGTCAGGCCACTAGCTGTCTCTATAACTCAGTGTATGAGGTAAGAGGTAAAACATAACATAGCATTATGTTCAGGCTAAAACCACAGGGTCATAAATGTGCCATTAGTACTTGTCTTGATTGTTAGGCTGAATTAGACAAATGCTAGCAGGAAAGCGGTCATCCCAAACCCAGAAAGGGCCTGAGTAAAGATAAGGCAAGAGTCTTCATAGAAAGGTTAAGGGAGGGACATGCTCTGTGTTTTGAATGTCTTTCGGGGAGTGTGGGGATGTGCAGAAATGCAGCGATGGACTGGTTATCAGCTCTGCTTCCCAATCACTGTTTTCCTCACTAAACCTTGTAATGATCATTAACACTTATTAAAGCCAACTGTGTGCTTTGAATAACCCCATTTTAGGGATAAGGCAAGTGAAGTGAAAAAAGGCTGAATACTTTACCAAAGGCATGCATCTTTTAAATGTACAGTACTATGACTTGGGTCTGTCTTAGTTAGGACAGCCTACATCATTTTTTGACACTGTTAAACTCATTTCTTAACTTTATGTGAGATTGGGGGTTGTTTTTCAGTTTTTCTGTTACTGACTTCTGGAAAAGATTGAAAGGCAGTTCAGTGAAAAAAGGGTAGTCTTTTCAACAAATAATGCTGGAACACCTGGCTATTGATATAAAAAAAAAAAAAAAAAAAAAGAAAGAAACAAAATGTGGCCATACCCAAAGTTAAGTCAAAATGGGTCAAAGACCTAAATGTAAAACCCAAAACTCACAATCTAAATGATGTATAGCGATTTAATGTATGAATAATAATTTTTAAGAGAGTGGTTTTCTTTTTTTTAAAGAATTATTTATTTTTTATTTTATTTATTCATTTATTTTATTTTAATCTGACCAGAGAGAGACACAGAGAGAGAGAGGGAAAGTGAGAAAGCAAGCTACCAGGTCCAGGACTCGAACAGTGCTTGGCCATGTGGAAGTGTCCAGTGCCTTAACCACCACGCCACCTGCTGGTCCCAATAATAATTTTTTAAAAAATAATAAAAGATAGGAGAAGGGACCAGCAGATGCGGTGATGGCGAAGGCACCAGACTCCCACACGGCTGACTGCGGTTGGAGTCTGGGTTCAGTGGCTTGAAACTCACACCAGGTAGATGTGGCTGGTGAGTGAGTGTACCCAGGATTCCAAGAGGATGGCATGACCATCCTCCCTGGGGGTTGATTTCTCGCTTTCTGTCTCTCTGTCTCTCTCTGTCTGTCTGGCAAGTGCACGCGCCTTATAGCAGAAGCAAAACCAAAAAAAAAAAAAAAAAAAGGAGAAAACATTTGTTACTTAGGGATAGCCAAAGATTCCTTAACTATGAAACCCAAAAGCCTAATCCGTTAAGAAGAAATGATCAACTAAGCTTCACCAAAATGAAAAAGTTCTTTGCTTCCTAAGACAGTCTTAGGAAACAGAAAAGACAAACCACAGACTGGGAAAATACACTTGTAACACACTATTCGATAAGGTCTTTGTACCTAGAATATATAAAGAACATTCAAAATTTAATAATAAAGCAAACAACGCAATAGAAGTGCAAAAAAACACCTTGAAGCGGCACTTTACCAAAGAAAACACGCCCGCTGTAGGTGAGCACATGAAGACGCTCAGCATGAGTATGCAAAACTAAACCGCAGTGATACCAACACACGCCAGTTCTCCAGCGAAAACCTCTGGACGCTGAAGTTCTGGCAAACATCAAAAGGAACTGTAACTCTTATACGCTGCTGAAGAAAAATAAAAACAAAAACAAAAACACTTTAGGGGGCCAGCAAATGGCTAAGGATACTTTGCGGGACTCCCACATGGCCCCCGGGGTTGGAGTCCTGGTACCAGTGGTGGTGTGCTCAAGATCTGGAGAGGAGAATGGAGAAGGGATTGTGGGGTGGCCCCGGGGGTGTGTGCGGGGAGGGGTGATTTCTCACTTTCCCTCTCGCTGATTCTGTCTCTCTCCAGTGAGTGTATGTGCAGTAAGGCAAAAATCTCTTTAAACAAACAACAAAAACACTGCGGAAAGCACTTTGGTAGTTCTTAAAAGTTACAACTACCTTATGATCTAGCCATTTCATTTCCGAGTATTTATGCCTATGTCCACGCCTGGATTCATACATGAGTGCTCTAGCTGCTTTCGTTCTGATAAGGCAAACGTAGCAGCCTATAGCAACGGGCGACTAGAGGACTACACTGTGGTACGTCCACAAAGGGAGCCCGCTCGGTGAACCGACGCTGTTACGTGCGACAGACGCAGGCTCGTCACAACACTTAAGCCGAGTGAAAAGAAGCCAGGCAGGACCAAGTACATATTCTGTCATTCTACTACGCACAGCTCTAGAAAATGCAAACAAACTAAAGCGGATCCGGATTCGAGTGGAGTGGGAATGGGTGGAGAAGGAGGGCAGGAGGGGGGAGAGCAGAGAGGGCGTCAGCAGGAGGAGTTGCAAAGGCGAGGTGGGCTTGCCCTGCAGGGCCTGGCGGGCGGCGGCGGGCGCCACGCGGGGACCGGACTCGGGGACGCAGGTAGGACGCGGGCCTCTCAGGTCCCGTCGCAGCGGGACTTTCGATCTCACTTCCCCGCACCGCGACGTGGGGCCGGGCCTGGCCCGGGCCGGGAGCTTCCCTGGAGCTCCGCCTGCCTGGGCCCGCGGCGGTGTGCTCCACTGCTGTGGTTTGCAGCCTTGGGGCGCTGGGAGACAGTGATCCCTGTGAGAAGCCCATGAAAGGTACAAATTCTCTCCCTAACGGTGCACAGAATCCTTTTGCCAAAAAGGGCCTAGAAGCAGCTGCCGCTTATGCAAGGACTGCAGGGAAGACCCGCGGTCACTGGGTCAAACGCTCCGACCTCGCGCGCTCCTGCGATGGCCCTTCTCCTCTCACCGCGTACCCTCTTCAGAGTTGGTATGATTCCTCCTTTCGGATCTCAGAGACTTCAGATTCCCATGGGGTGGTTCCTGCCCTGCGGTGTTCCTAGTGTGTATCCAGGACCTGCAAGACTCGCGGGCTGATCACCTGCTCCCTCTAACTGTTGTTTGGGGCCGGCAGGTGGCGTGGTAGTTATGGGCGCTGGACTCCCACGGGACCCAACGCAGTTCAAGTCATTGTTAAAGGCTGTGAGACAGACCAGGAGGGGAGAGAGAGAGTTTGCTAATTGCCTGTGTCTCCTCTCAGATTGAGGCCGTTTACATTTCACTAGGAAAGAGTCTCTGGGGAGATCTGCCTCACCAGAGCAATTTTTCAGATGTGTTTCAGGGTCACTTAGTGGATTGGCTTCTTGGGCAGTTGCCCAGCTGGTTCACCTTAGCATCGAATTTTATAGGTGTCATTTAGAGATACCTGACTGATGAAGATAGACCAGCTTTCTTGGAACACTTTTTATCCCCTGAAGTTTTAAAAATGTACTGTTAAATAAAAGAGAAACCAAATCGAAGCCCTGGCAACGGGAGTAGGAGCTGATCCAACAGAACTCCCACTGTGGCCTTCTAGCTCCTGGGTGTCTGTGGTCAATCTGGTGATACTTAGGAGCCTACTGTGAGCTGAGTGTTGCTATGGTGAGAACAGAGGTGATGGAAATAAACCGGAGTTCTCCTCATCTCCCTTGATAGGGTGGATAGTGGCTTTAGGGGCATCTTGTTCATGTTTGAATTTTTTTTTTTCCTCTGTCAGAAGCAGCCTAATGAATTGCCCTGGGACCTGAAGTTCTTCAGCAATATTAACATTTGGCTAGACACCAACACATAACAGGAGCTGTGTAACCTATCAGACACCCTCTGCTGGGAATTCATAATACAGACATCATTCAAAAGGACAATAAAGCTAAATATGCAAAGATGTTTTGAACAGCACTACTCTTAAGCAGAAACTGGCTATAACCCAAATCAGTTAAGGGATACTTAAATAAATCATGAAAGATCAATTCAACACACTGTGAGACATCCATTAAACATGCTAACAGGTAACAGTGCTGTGGTTAAGACTCCGATTTGAGCCCTGGCTCTCTCACTTCCTGACCATGTGTTTGAGCTCAGGCAGCTGTAACAAAACACCATAGACCGGGCGGCTTAAGGAAAAGACATGTATTACTCACAGTTCTGGAGGCTGGGAAGTCCAAGATCAAGGTGGTGATGGATTTAGTTTTTGATAAGAACCCATTTCCTGCCTGGTGGAGGGCCAGCTTCTAAGTACGCTCACATGGCCTTTCCTAGGGGTCTGGATGGACACACCAAATTCTTGGGCCTCTTACTGTTAGAAGGACACTAATGCCATCATGAGACTCCACCTCATTACGTAATTTAAACTTGGTTACCTCCCCAAAGCCCCCAAATACCATCATAGGTCAGAGCCTCAGGGGATGAATTTCAGGGTGAAGAAGTAGAGAGGACACACACATTTAGTCCATAATAATGTCTTTGGACATGGTTCTTAAACTTCAGAAATTTAAACCTCTGGGTTCTTTTCTTCTATAAGGATAATCATAATAGTAGGGTTGGTAGTTAAGGATGCTGGACTCCTATATGGCCAACCGCTGTTCAAGTCTTGGACCTGGCAGCTTGTTTTTTTTCTCTCTCTCTGTCCCTCTCTCATTAAATTAAAATAAGTAAATAAAGTTAAATAAAATCATTTTTAAATAAATAGTAGAGTTTTATAGGATTTTTTCCAACAAAAATATCACAATGCTTGGCACTTCATAAGCACATAATAAATGTTAATTATAATTAAATGGAGAAGACAGAAGTGTAGCTACATTTATCCTGTACTATGGGCTTAGGGAGAATCGAGAGAGAGAAAAAAAATAAAAAGGGAGATGAGAAGATGTTGAAGTCATAAAATATTATTCTCCAGTGCTGAGGGTTTTGGGTTGTTTTAGTTTATTTCTTTCTTGAACATGGAAGATAAGTACCTTCAACAGGGTCTCATGCGCTTGGCCCAGAGCCCTCCCCACCAGAGGGGATCATGGTGCCTATGCCCAGTATGTACAAATCAACCAGGGAATTGAACCCGTGATCTTCTGTATACATCCACCATTGCTTAAGCAGCACGTTACCGCTGTGCCACTGAGCCAGCCCTCCACTGCTAAGATTTCTGATATGCTCAGAGGCAAGGCCCCATGAATGATTTATGTCATCCAGACTGACAAAGAGCAAATTAAAAAGTAAGAAATGTCCTGAAGAGGGGCTGGCGGGTGGCATAGTGGTTAAGGGCACTGGACTCCCACATGGCCAACCGTGGCTCGAGCTCTGGACCAGGCAGCTTGCTTTCTCACTTTCTTTCTGTTTCTCTTTCTCTCTGTCCCTCTCTGGTCAAGTTAAAGATAAATAAATAAAGTTGAATAAAGTAATTCTTTTTAAAAAGGAAGAGAAATGTCCTGAAGGAAAAACAGCTGTTGCTTCAGGAACACATTCCTTTTAGAGCTGACTGCCGGGAGACCACCCTGAGCATAGGTAAAAGTAGCCCGGTCACTGTGGTAAAGCCAGATCAGCAGATCGGAGTGGGCTGGGAATTCTTTTTATACCAGATTTTAATGGGTTTATCAGGCTCAACACACATTTATTAAAACAAGGGTGGTGTACACGTGACAGCTGGCAGCAGAGCAGCTGTGGGCAGAAAGTGGAACTAGAGCAGGTCGGAGACTGACCAAGTGTGGGTTTCCTTGTGGATGAGACGATTGAGGCCTTCCTCGTGGAACAGACAACCAATGAGCTATGACCTGTGCAGGTCTCAGTACACGGAGAGAAAGGAGCCCAGAGGGCTGAGTTTGTCCACACACACTTGAAAGTCAAGCTGCATAGCCGTCTAGTACAGCAGCAGCAGCCAGACTTCAATAGTGAAGATAGCAAGACAATGCGGGCCAGACGGTGGCACAGTGGTAAATGTAACACTCTGAAGAGGTCCCACGTGGGAAGGTGGGGATTCCTGGCTATTGACTTTCCTGAGTATGCAGGACATACATGGGCCCACGATCCAGGGTTGTCTAAAGTCTGGGCCTGTTCAGACCTTGTTTTGGTTGCTCTCTCTCTCTTTCTCTCTTGCTCATGAAAGAAAGACTTTTAAAAACTTAAAAAAAAAAAAAGACAGAGGGGCCAGCCAGTGGCATGGTGAAGGGGCTGGACTCCCACAAGGCCGACAAGGTTTGAGTCCCAGACCCAGGTGCTTGAAAATCACACCGGGCATGTGTGTGTGCATGTGTGCCCCAAATCCCAAGATTTGCAGCATGGTCATGTCCCCTGGGGGAGGAGAGATTTCTCACTTTCCTTTTCTCTGCTCTCTGTCTCTCTCCAGCAAGCACACGTGCCCTATAACAAAAACATATTTAAAAAGAGAACAAAAACGTACAAGGAATCTGAAAAATATGAGGTCCAGAAAGGACCAGCACATGGTACAGATGTGCGGATTAAGAACAGAAAGTGCCTGTGTGCACACACAAAGGACAGGGAGACCAGCGTAGAAACTTCTCTCCAGACCCTGGTGGTCAGAAGACGACACGGCCCTAAACGAGAGACCTTGTCTCTTACGTATAGGGCCTAGATTGCTATTTGGTAAAATTGCAGAATTTACTCATAATTCAATTTTCATTTAAATTCTAGCTGTTTCCTAAAGCTTCAGTGGACGAGTTTGCTAGGGCTGCCATAAACTACCATAGACCAGGTGTCCGTAAATGCGGGAAATTTGTCTTCATACTGTTCTGGAGGCTGGAATCCAAGATCAAGGGGCTGACAGGGCTGGTTTCTCCTGGGGCCACTCCGGCTTACAGATGGCTGTCTTTTGGCTGTGTACCACGTGACCTCTTCTGTGCGTGTGCATCCCGCTGTAGCTTCCTCTTGTCAGGACAGCAGCCATACTGGACTAGGGCTTTATCTTAATAGCCTCATTTTAACATAGTCACCATGAAGGCACCTCTTCTTGTACAGCCATATGGATCAGGGCCCACTCATATGACCAAATTCAACATAAGTTACTTTTATATTTTCCTTGCCGTATGGTGCACAGGCTCATTGGAAAGACAGGAAAGTGAGAAAGCACCCTCCTGGGGAATTGTCACATAGCAATCCTTTCTCCTCCTTTCTCCTTTTGGGATTTTGGGCATACAGACACACACACACACACACACACACACACACACACAGGCCCAGCATGTTTTTTAATCAAGCCTCCAGGTCTGGGTCTTGACCTCACAGTTAGCCATGTGGAATCCAGCCACCCTAACCATCATGCCAATGGTTACCCCTAATTACCTCTTTAAAGGCCCTATTTCTAAATGCAGTTACATTCTGAGGCACCGGTAATTAGGACTTCAACAAAGAGACTATAGGGTGGGGGGTGCCACGTAGTAGCCAGTACTATCCAGGTCAAAGAAACCTCCTAAAGTGATACAGACCACATGTATCCTGACCTGGGGCACCCACCTGTCATTTTGCTCTCGGGAGAGGGTCTGCTCTTGACCGAGTCTGATGGGCTGGCAGATCTGCAGCTAAACACTGCAGAATCAGCACTTGAACAAGAACTAACCTGAACCTTGTTGTCTGTCCATGAACGCTTTCACACCCATTAGTAATAGCTTAAAGGTACACACAGATAAGGATATAAAAGGCTATGAAAGGGGCCATAGGTGGCATAGTGGTTAAGGCACTGGACTCCTACATAGTCGACTGTGTTTTGAATCCTGGACCTAGTGGCTTGAAACTCATGCCAAGCGCCTGTGCGTTCATGCACAAGATCCCGGAAAGAGGTTGGAGGAGAAGGGATTGTTGTGTGGCCATCCCCATAGCGGGTGACTTTTTCACTTTCCCTCTCTCTCTGTGTCTCTCCAGTAAGCACATGCTCCCTATAGCAAAAATCTCTCTTAAAAAAAAAAGATATGAACACTGGTCTTTCATACGGTATTTAGATAAAGGAGTACTTTTCAGTAATTCTTCACGACTTAAAAATTAGTTGCAAATTTTAAACTAAAAAGAGAATCTCAAGGCAGAGGAGGAGGTTTCTGATGAGCAGGGAACCCCTCTCTAACAGATGAGGTGAGATGCAGAGTGTTGGAGACGAACTAGAAGCCCACCCAGGACACAAACCTTGGTGTCAACGCAAAGGAAGGGCCTGCTCTAAAGCTCAGTTCATGAAGTCTCACTAAATTTTAGTCCCCCTCTAATTCCTCTTCGTAGTGTCATGTGTTACATTGCACTGAAAGTGAAACGCACTACGGGCAGTGCTCCCAGGAGACAATAGTGTTTTTCCTCTAATTCCATTCCACTTTCTCCCCTAAAGGAGACAGGAGGATAAGGCAGCTTTACAGACTGTAAACCCAACACTAGTGCTGGCAGGCTGTCCTCTTTCGCTCTCCGTGGGAATAACGTGAGATCTTTGCCACAGTTAACCACTGTGAAGTGGCCGAGTGTGACAGGTACTTGAGGGGTAAGGAGAGTGTTTTATTGAGCTGCACTATAACTTTTTTCCTTGACTAATATCAGTGAAAGCCAGAGTTTAGGTCTCACAAACTCCTCACAGGACCAGAGTTTAAATTCAGAGAGGCGCAATCTAGAACAGTTCACTTTCATTAACAAAGTCTATCCTTTCCTTCTTTTAGAAATAAATTGCCATGGCAACAGCAGATGGCATAAGGTTTAAGTTGCTGGAGTCCCATGTAGTCAACTATGGTTCGAGTCCCAGACCCGATGGCTTAAAACTCATGCTGGGCATGTGTGATCATGTGCCCAAAATCCCAGAAGGAGAAGGAATTACAGCATGGCATCCCCCCTCCCCCGGGGGGGGTGATTTCTCACTTTTTGTCTCTCTGTTTCTCTATCTCTCTGGCGAATGCACGCGGCCTATAGTGAAAAT